TCAGAGGATGATGATGGAGAGAGTTTTAGGGCTTTCGGCTATATTAAAAAGATTTGAACTAACTGTTACAGAGAATTTTATGAGAAGTTAAAAAACTGAATAAAAAGGGATACAGACTAGCACATAAGGCCCAGCTGACATTAAACACTGTGGGTCTGGAGTAAATCCAATTGGCAGAGCTACCTGAATTTCTCTAATAATATTAAGCAGCTTAGAAGTATAGAAAATGAAAGGTTAGATTAACCCAGGAATAGGGAGTGGAATTGGGTGAAATTCAGTTACAATGGAAGAGAGATGGAAATATTATATATTCTCCACCCCATTGAAATGCCAAGCCAAAATTATAAATTCAAATGTTTTCCACCTCATGGCCGTACTAAGTATATCTTAATACTGATTTTAGTTCATACTTGAGCTAAAATTAGTTAAAACATATTTTCCGGCTGAATAAAAATCTGACTCAAGCTAATGGTAGGATTGATATATAATCTGTAATTTTCTACCAGTAAAAGCCTATGGTGTGGAACTTTAAATTTTTAATGAAATCATTTGGGAACCAACATTCTACATAGCTGGAAAGTCCCTGGGTCATTTCCGGCCAGAGCTGAAGGAGCAATGATTTTTATACCATGTGAACCCTTTTACTCCTTCTTCACAATTCTGGTAAATAGAAATTGAAACTTGAGCACCTTTGTTTAACAGATTCATTGAACAAATATTTAGTATTAATGTTTCTGCTATATACCAAGCCATCAATACATGGGGTAACCAATGGCTTATGATGAGATCTGACAATAAAAGACAACTTGAGCCAAACCAATTTCCTCTCTTGGCAATCTGCACCAACAGATATTAAGCTAGAGAGGTATTTCATGTAGAACCTAGAGCTAAAAGGTCACCATGTAATGTACGCCTGAAGGTCATGACAAAAATTTGCTAGTCAGAAGTTCAGAGGAGGCAAAAACAAGGAGTAAGCCACGGAGAGAGCAAAAGTGGACAGAACTTTAGATTCTTTTGAAGTTGAATCATGGCCCACAAAAGAAATGTCAAAGGTCTCTCCCGAGAACTTTTCCACTGATTCTTGTAGTTCTAATTGAGGATCCATTCATATCTATAGATTTTCATAATACAGTCTGAGTGAGTCTATGATTCTCCATCTAAGAGGAACATAAGGAGAAACTGAAATTTGAATAATTATTTCACCACACATTTTCATGAGGACACATCATACTCTACATATATTTACATACTAGGGTCTACATGCTGAGTACATATCTGCACTCAGGACACATAATGTTGGTTTATTTGTCGATGTTTTCACATTTATTCTCTTTATTGAATCCTAACTCCAAGGAATAAGCTCTAGCCTGAATATGTAAGCTTTGAGTAGACACGAAAGAAACTGCCTGTTACTAGTATTCCCGTCTTACAGGTCCTGTGAGGTGGGGCCGGCAGCATGACCAGTCAGAAGAGCATTGGCTTTGTGACTCTGAAAACCTAGGCCTGAATTCTGGCTCTATCACTAGTTATGTGACTTTCATCCCTCCAATCCTCAGTTGATGTCAATCAAAAAAATATAGAACTATTTCACTCTCGGGTAGGATGTGGAAAGACCACATGTAACGGCAGCTTCTACGCGCACATGGTGGACAGTCAACAATCTTCATTCCCATGTGTGACTCACCCATGATCACATGTCTAGGAAGGAGCAGGAAGTCTGTTCTGGAACCTACTCATAACCTATCTGTATCCTCTGGTCTTTGCATTTCTGTGTGTTCAAGAAAATAAATTCAGGTTATATTCAAATCTGGACATCTATTATCTTCCAGATTCTTTTTGAAAACGCTGCTCCACAGCCTTCATTCCTCCCTGATGTCCCAAGGTACCTTCTTTTACCATTTCTTTTCTTTTCAAGGAATTTCTTTTAGCCACTCTTTTAGTGAAGGTCTCCTAGCAATATATTCTCTTTGTTTTTCTTCAGATGAGAATATCTTGATTTCCTCTTCATTTTTTGAAGGGTATGGGATTCTGAGTTGATAATTCTTTTCTTTCAGCATTTGAAAAATGTTAGCCCACTTCCTTCTGGACTTCATGGGTTCCAATGTGAAATTCACTGTCATTATAATCATTGTCCCCTAAAGATACCATTTCTCTCTTGCTGCTTTTCAGGTTCTTTCTTTGCCTTTAGTTTTCAGAAGTTTGACTATCATGTTTCTTTGGTATGGATTTCTTTGGATCTGTCCTCTTTGGAGTGTGCTCAGTTTCTTGAATCTATAGGTTTATGTCCTTTGCAAAAATTGGGACATTTTCAGCGATTATTTCTTTTTCATCCCCACCTTCTTTCACCTCTACTCTCAGACTCTGAGGACATGAATGTTAGATATTTTGTTATAGTCTTACAGTTCCCTAAGGCTTTTTTCATTTTTTTTTCCCTCTGTTGTTCAGAGTGGTTAATTTCTATTGCTCTACCTTTCAGTTCATAGAGTCTTTCTTCTGTTCTCTCCATTCCATTGCTGAGCACATCAATTCAGTTTTGTATTTTAGTTATTGGATTTTTCAGTCCTAAAGTTTCTGTTTGATTCTTCTTTCTATCTTCTATTTCTTTGTTGAGACTTTCTGTCTTTTTCATTTGTTTCAAATGTGTTTATAATTGCCTGTTAATGCAATTTTATAATGGATGCTTTAAAATCTTTGTCAGACAATTATAATATCTCTGTCTTCTTCATGTGGGCATCTATTGATTGTCTTTTATCATTCAGCTTGAGATCTTCCTTGGTCTTGGTATGATGAGTGACTTTTCATTGAATTCTTGACAATTTGGGTATTTTATGAAGGGACTCTTGGTCTTATTTAAACCTTCAGTTTCAGGTGGCTTTCCTTGACAACACTCTGGTAGGGGAAGGCAGAGTGCTACCTCCTCACTGTGAGATAGAAGCCCAGTTTCCTTACTTAGCCTCCTCTGTTCCTGAGGGTCATGGCTCCTTGTTACTCCTGGGAGAGCGTGAGAGTTCTAGCTCCCTACTAAGCCTCCAGGCTGAGAGGGGCAGGAAGCTTTGTTGCTGCTCACCATTGACTTTCACTGACACCATAGTACAGAGGAAGGGAGAGTGGCCCTATTACCACAGAGTGGTGATGAAAGTCCTGATTCTCCATTAGATATCCTCTGACACTAGCCCTGGAGGGAGGAGGAGGGACACCCCATTGCTTTCAAGTCGGGGTGGAAGCCCAAGTTTCCCCCATGGGGGAGCTCATTATTGCCCAGTAAAGAGTGGGGATGTGGGGCTGCCAGGTAAGAGTGGAGGTCTAAGATCCCCATCCGTCCTTAACTTGCATGATGGGCGTGAGGAAGTGGTATTTATCTGTTATGTTGAGCTATAGTAGAACAGTTAGGTCTAAAAGTTTTCTGTCTTGCTAGGCTTCCCCTTTTCTTGTTCTTTGGCTTGAGAGGGCAGGCTGTTCATCTGCACCTGTTGTTGCTTCTGGGTTGCTGGGTTTCTTTGTCTCCAAGTGTGAGACACATGGGTCTTGAGGTCCCTAGTCGGTCTGCCTTCTCTCTACCTTTCAGTCTTCTTACATTAGTTTTTTATGTAAGGGTTTTAAGGGTTTTTAGTTGTACTTAGTGGGAGGCATAGAGAAAAGTAAGTGTACTCCATCTTCTGAAAAGCAGAAGTCTTCCTCCATTAGCATTTTGATACATATTATTTCCACCTTAGATTCCAACAAGGAAAAGTCCTGGACCAGATGGGTTCACACCCAAATTTTACCAAACATACAAAGAAGAACTCATACCTATACTACAGAAATTATTCCACAACATTTAGAAAGATGGTATCCTCCCCAACTCATTCTAAAAGCTAATATCACCTTAATACCAAAGCCAGGAAAGGACACAACAAAAAAAGAAAACTATGGACCAATATCCCTCATGAATATAGATGCAAAAATCCTCAACAAAATCTTATCAAATCGAATCTAACAGTACATCAAAAAAATAATTCATCATGACCAGGTGGGATTTATCCCAGAGATGCAGAGCTGGTTCAACATATGTAAATCTATAAGAGCAATTCACCACATAAGTTAGATTTAAGTATTTCTTAAGACAATGTTAATTCTGATTGACAAATTAACAGCACAAGGTATTTGCACTCTATCTTTTTGCCAGAGAATGCAAGTGATGCTAAACTCTCTGCTTTCCAGTTACCATCGATGTTATGTAGTGAGAAGCCACATTACTGGAGTATGACTGAAGAGTTCACAGTCTAGTCATCATATAAAAAACGTTATCCCCAGTCAACTCAGACCACAAAACCTGCATGAGAAATTCCTACGTTAAAATGTGCTGATAGTACTAGGCCCATGTTGAGAAACACTATAAAAAAATGTATAGATGATTTACAAATTCTAATTTTTATTATTTTTAGGGATGTTATTAAGAGTACAATTCACTACATCACAAAGCATACCTGTATGAATAGAGTGGAAGAATCTCCCTCAGCTTTGTACCGCAAGAAGCTGACTAACCAATATATTTTTATATTTTGAAAGTTATGATGCCAATAATTTCCTTCTTTGGCTGTCAGGAAGCTCAAAGTCAAATCTGGTAATCCCTGTAGTACGTTATGGCATAGATTGTCATACCCTTGATTTCATTTTATTTTTCAATTCAGATTTTACTTTTACTCAGATTTCCTCATGGATTTGTTTTTTATCCAGTAGGATAGTATGCATTTGGTACCTGATCTCATTTATTTTAGAAACAGATGGGTGAATAAATACATTAGAAAAAGATAGAGGGTTTGTAATCCCTCAGTAGGACAGGAAATGAACCTCAGATTTGTTCTCAATTCATGAGAGGAACTTAATGCATGCTGCCATTTGATCCCACACAGTTTCTCTTTCTCAAGAGGACCTAAAAGAATATATTTGTTGTCACATAATTTATGTTGTATTTGTGAGATGGAGCTTTTTAAGGGATAGACAAACACAAGTCCTACCTGGAGGACTGAAGCACCACTATGGAGAAACTGAAGACCACTTTCAGCTGAGTCAATTCCACCAGTGGCCAAAATGGGAAATCCAGGCAAAGCACGAGCAATGGAGGTCACAGCTCTCAAAGCAATAGGTCTGATTGCTGTCCCTGTAGAAAATAAGAATAATCAATGATTAGCATATTGACCATTTGAACCTATTGCCTTATAGACTGTTATGTACTGGACACATTTCAAACTTCTTTATCTCTACTTAAGATGTGTACATGTATAATGTATAAATGTTATTTTTCAAAATAATTTGTCAATGGATGCTTATTCATTTTAAGGACTTTGATGCTATTATTGAATGCAGACATGTTATGGAAGTGGGTATAGTAACCCAAAAACTCTCTCATATTACAATTTGATATAAGGTAATGTGTAAAAAATTGTATAGAACATTCAAGCATCTGTTTTAAACACACAAGGAACAGCAGACTTGAAAAAGAAAAACAATCATATACAGTACATAAATAGACATACAGCTATGCTATGTTTCTGTAAAGTATAAAGCAGCTGGTATGAATATAGATACTACAAAAACAAGCAAATTGCTGATGAACTTACAGATTCCATATTGCTTTTTACATATATTTCCAACAATTTGAAGAAATATGTGGAGCCTAATCTAATTTTTCATATATTAGAAAGTTTTAATCAAGAGCATTTACTAGCATCCAGTAATTAGAATATATATATTCAGTTTTTTAGATGTTTTAATTAGTCAAACATTACCAGTATATTATTCCCTAATAGCAACGAAAACTATATGGATGGACAAAATACTTTGGGCTCATTATAAAAATGAATATACTGTGCTAAGACTTCTCTGAAATCTCAAATGTTAAATATCCCAGACTAAATTAATGCTTTCATAACAGAAGAATATAATTTGATATTCCTGGTCTTTACTTATAAGTCAGTGGTCCTTTAAAGCATTTTCTGAACCAAAGATAGTTCTATTAATATTTGCATAAGAATTTGACACTGCCTTAAACCAGGGCTTCACAAACAACACAAATAAGCACTGATTTGGCCTCATGTGGTGAGTACCACAAGCATAGTCACTCTCATTATCAAATGTATTGATTAGAGTGCTCACTTTAAGAAATTACACAGAGCTTTCCTTAAAGTCAGTGTCTTTTCATCTGTAGAGGCTAGATATTGTGTGATTCCAACTATAAGACACTCTGGAAAAGGCAAAACTATGAAGACAGGAAAAATATCAGTGGTAGCCAGGAGTGGGAGGGAGGCATAAATAGAGCAAAGAAGATTTTTAGGATAGTGAAAATACTATATATGATGCTACATTGGTGGATGCATGTTGTTTTACATTTTTTCAAACTTATGGAATGTATAACACCAAGAGTGAATCTTAATGTAAACTATGGACTTTGGGCGATGTATGTGTCATTGTAGATTGACCGTTTGTAACAACTGTACCAGTCTAATGGGGCATGTTGATAATGGAGGCTGTGCACGTGTGGGGCAGTGGTTATATACACTATCCCTGGACCTTCCTCTCAATTTTTCTGTGAACGTAAAACTGGTCTGAAAAATAAAGTCCCCCACCCCCCAAAAAAGCCAACAGCTTTCTTTTTATCCTGTTAATATCCATTTCAGATACAACTAAAGTCATGCATAACTGATGCTTTTATACTCAAAACAAAAATGTTTGTAGAAATATCTGCTTGTTGCTCCCACGCCTGAAAAAGCTTTCTCTCAATGTTAGTATCTCTTAGCTAAGAATATTCAGTGATGATATTCCAGATTCTATAACAGACATTTAGAGCACAGGTATTAAGTGAGGTCAAATTAGAAACTGGATGTCAAGATTCAATTTCTATATTAGAATATTTATTGACAATTTCTTCTTAGTCTTTGTTTTAACCATAAAAAAGGCTAATGGAGTGGACGGAAGAATTAATAGTGAGAACACACATACACATTTATATGTACATATCTTTATCTATACTAAAAATAGATCTACATAATAAAAGTTAAATTAAAACATTTTTAAGGAAATCTACAACTTAAACCTTAAGATAGACACATTGATATCTCTGTAAAACTCCCATGCTCAATATATACTAAGCTAATGGCTTCTTTACGTATATGTCATTTTGAAGTAATAAAGAAATATTGGGATTTCTTCTTTTCCTTATTTAGTTGACCCAAGAGAGTAAAGGAAATTTGAGCTAAGCAGATAAATCATTTATTTCTAAATGCACTGTTAGAAGACCATCATTAACACCAAGGGGTAAAATTTCAAAGTGGTATACAGGGATTTGGCCACATATTCCAATTGATATTAATGGACATCGAATGGCAAAGTCCCAGAACACAGCTTTGAAAATTTAACTAGTTACACTTAAAGGGCAACATTATTACACGGGTGTCAAAAACATCAGCAAATCCTCATTGGCATTTGAAGATGTTCAATTAGGTCAATAAGACATTTTCTACTTTATGTTTTTCTTCCTTTTCTAAGACTTTTCTAATATACCTAATGAACAGGAAAACCTTTCAAACTAATAAGGATTTTTTTAAAATTAAGAGTAATTATGTTCTCTGAGGAAATGAGATCCAACAATGAAGAAATGGACCCTTCTGTTGCTGGGCAATAGTAAATTCAGTTTTTATTTCCATTATAAACTCCCTTTGAGTTTTTATAACTCAACTGATTTAATATGAAATATAATCTACCTGTTCTCAGCATTTTTATGGGGAATAGGTTTTAAAAATGACTTTCACATCCACTAAGAAAGATTTCTGGAAGGAAACTGAAGGTATATAAAAGAATCTTTCTAAATTGTTATATAGAAATTTCTTTTTAGTTTTAAAATGACAGAAATGAAGAAATAATAGGTTCAAAATTAAAATAAAACTTTTGATGCAAAGAAAATGTATATATTAATGCCATACAGAGTTGTACATATGCCAATTAAAATGCATAAAGACTTCCAGAATCACAGTTATTGAGATAAAGATTTTTACAATTTTTGTCACTACTGCAGTGATTAATGACTTTATACCAAAGACTAGAGAGGAAGAAGCCAGTTTGAGAACCTCAAGGAATGTGAATGTGAACTCCATCCTTAAGGAAACAGTAAGGTTTAAATCAAGAAGTTGAAATCCTATAAACTTAAATGAACTAGTAGGTAACATGCCATTTAAATTAAGCCTTCATCTACATGGGGTGGCCAGGTGAACCTAATGGGAAATTCAGTTACATCAAGCCATTCTGTTTCAACTGTGTGGAATCCTCCAATAAAAATCAAGCCATTCCGAGTCCCCATGTTTTGAAATAAGCTGCAGGTTCAAACGCATAAACAAACAGAAAATGAACTGGACCTTTAAGTGGCAATGTTGCTGCCAAGAATTCTGATTTGAACTAAAGTGGCCTTTGTGGACTAGCTGGTGGACTAGGCTGAACTGTAACTTTTGGTCTCAAATCAGTCTAGGCCCTCCATGTAGTCACAACTTAAAATGCAAATAATTTTGTTGAATTCATAGAACTTCTTTGATAAATTGCACAGAACACTTTTGGATTGATTCATGTTTTAGAAAAACATTTGAGTAAGTCAGAGATTTTGAATTAAGTTAATCAATCTGATTTTAAGGAAACTTTTTTTTAAGAATATGATACTCTTTTGTCACATAGTTTAAGTATAATTTCAAAAATGCTACCATTAGTTACAGTAT